CTCGTTTCACTCATTGGTTTAAAGAAGAATGATGACGTCAAATTTTGAAATGAGTTAGAGGGAACAAGTTGTTGTAATATATAATGAGTACTGTTTTATCAGACGGGGTAAAGATATCGTATAGTCGACGTGAAAGCAACTTACTCGTGTTTCCCACCAGTCACTCCTTACAACCTTCTTCACTTCTGATAACCAAAAATTTTGTGTTAGTGAATTGCGCATTTAGATTTTCATTTACAGCTGCCTATGTTATGTAGATATTTAAAATAAATTCTTACTGTTCTATCTTCTAATCATCGGTTTCAGTCACCAATTTCCGATGAAAATGCACGTAAAACAACACCAGGTATATTCGTGAGCACAGTTTGACACGTTGCAGTGAAAGGTGGAATATGAAAATACTTGCAGATCATTTGAGTTCATGTGGTTTATATACGTGTACCTCACTATACAAACAATGCCTCACTAGTCAGGAAGAGAACCAGGGATTTCAGCGTGGGAACAGGGAGTGTTACCACGGCACCATATACGGTATATTTAGACAGTATATATTGACTTACCTCGGTAGAAGCGGACATGTAGGATAAATAACAGCACCAACGCAGTTATAAACAGCAACATATTTCATAACGTTGCAACATGTCTTGCGTCATCATCCGACCTGGAACATGAAGTGAAATACAATAGCACAAATTTTGAGATTCATAATGACAAATTAAATTAACTACAATATATTACTAAAAGTGCCTAACAATGAACACTAAGACACTAAATTACTAATTGGTAAAATATAATACATTTAAAATGAACAAAATCACTAGGAAGAGCAAATGATTACAACCAATTACCTGAGACGAATATACAAATATAAGTAAATATGTTACATACCAGCAACATTACCCACCAATCAGGAACAGCAAGGTAGTAGATGAAGAGCGTCTCCACTGTGACCTGCGTGATGTCGTCAGGGCAAGTGGTAAGGAGTGTTAAGTCTAACTTATTTATAGTGATCGTATACCTGACTATGGTCTCTAATTGGTGTATTGGAAGGTTTAGACAAGCGTTAACTTTCTCTGAACGAGCGACCTCGGTGTTCGGTAATTCTGACCATCAATTGTCGTTTGCTTTGATCGATATCCGTTACATTACAGCGACTACACTTGAATGTAGAGCAATTCATTACATCTGTCTGTCAAAATTATTGAACGCTGTTTCCTGCACGTGTGTGTAGAACGTGAAGGTGCGCAGTGCAGGGTTAGGTTAACCCAAACACAGACGGGCCTGGTAGCCAACTTACTGCATCAGAATATCACTCTAGAGACCAACCTTCCTGGACCAGGATTGAACCCGTGTCTCCTGGGGTGGAAGTCCAGAGCACTTAAACTGAGCCAACGAGCCCATAATGTAAAACTCGACCTGGGGACCATCAGGACCCTACCGACCGCACCCAAAAGTTTGGCCATGACAACCCCAAAGGAGGAGAGTGCAGCCATTGGTGGCGTGCTGGCCCTGGTGACCGTCAGTACCCGGTGTTCCACTTTTATATAAACATACACTATATGCACACACACACATACACACACACACACACACACACATATATATATATATATATATATATATATATATATATATATATATATATATATATATATATATATATATATATATATATATATATATATATATATATATATATATATATATATATATATATATATATATATATATATATATATATATATATATATATATATATATATATATATATATATATATATATATATATATATATATATATATATATATATATATATATATATATATATATATATATATATATATATATATATACTGTATATATATTCAGTTAAAACACATCACGTTTATAATGATGAAATACTATTTGAAGAACCAGGAAGTTTGACAGCAGAGGAAAATATGCAATATATGTATGAATAAGAATTTTATTACGACAGAGAGGCGAGCCCGAGCTTCACCAGCAAGAGTCTTTAAGCATAACTATAATAAAGGCAAATCATTTATCCTTTCCTCCTCGACTGTGTTATGAAATGTGTTGGTAGAATTGGGAGTCATGCCGTTAATATTACTTCGATATCATTTCAAACATCAAGTGTAAATCACTGCTGATGAATGAGACATCACATACCAACAAAATGAAAATATTGTAATTGCATCGCTGTGTCAGACCTGACCACTACAGCAGAATTACTTCACCTGCAAAGAAATTTACCTGAGGGACTGTTGTCATGAGAGGTCCGCTAATTTTAATGGCATCAGATTTTCTTTTCGCTGCCGTCCTTTTCTGTTCTTCTGATTTGGTCGATGGTGGTCCAGAATAACCATCACACATGACGGTGGTGTTTGGTCCGAAGTGGGTCTCCACATATAGCAATCACCTAGTTGAGCACGGGTTACTGGACGAGGCCACACAACAGTTTGGAAAGATTATCTCCGTTGATGATGTAAGTGAAATCCTGCGGTAAGGCCACTTCATCAGCAACAAGAGAGAACAGCAAGGATGCTAATGCAGCCTTTGTGGGCCGTCTCATGAAAATTTCATCAAAGAGAACTCGGGGCTGGGGTGCAAGTTCATTCTTCAGGTAAGTTAGTAAGTCAGACGCATTATGCAGGACTGACAGAATACAGTTGAGCATTTACTGTCTGTTTCACCCAATCTCTCCGCCATGTACATTAATGAAGTATATAATTGCTGCAATGGATTTAAATTTATTTTTTCCGATGCAACTACACGTCTTTAATTGTCTTAATTATCATTGTTCACGTTCATTTCATCACCGCAGCTTAGTGGTTTATCAGCGACAATCCCTGCAGACAATGAGAAATTACACTTGGTTGTCTAAAATCAAATGGTGACTGTTTTCAGCAATTCAAAGAAGCGCTTGACGTCACTCTTGTTCGTCGACTGTCTTGTTGACCTAAGAGTGTAAAATGAAAGTTTTCTGATAGTTGTAACAACCACAAATATTTCTCAAAACAACCGGCAGAGGACCCATATAAGGCATATTACGTTATGATCAGGTGAGTTTTTACAATGATGCGCACCTGAGATTTTTTTTACTATCATTGTATTATTACTGGGCCTTCAGCCTATCATTTCCACCAAACAAAAGTTCTGTTCTAATTTTCACAACCTTTACTTTGTTACAAATGCTAATTTTACTGAACTAATAATTAACAATTGGACAAACTTTTCCAACCACAGTTAAGAATATTCTCAAGCAAATACTGTAATAAAAATATACTTCCAAGTGAGAGTCAACAAAGAGAGAGAGAGAACCTATCAATACCCAGGCAGAAACTGACAGTCCTGGATACTCACAAAAAACATCAACTATCCTGACAGTCAAATCACACTTCTGGGCCCACTAAGGTTTTACTCGAGGGAAATTAGCAGGTAAAAGGGAAACACCATTCGCTATTCTTTACCTGGTGTTGGAAGTATTGTGTTGGCAAGTGAGGCACTCAAGGAAGCGTATGATTGAGGAAATAAAAAATACGGGCATAATGCAGCAGATGTCTCTAGAGGTTTTTATTGATTTTGTTTCCAGAGCAGCGCAGTATCCATAAACAAAAATATCTTCTGTAAATATTACTTGCAACATTGACTATATGGAAGCAGTTATACTCTCTTTTCGACGACATATTTTTCAATATTGATAATTTACTTAATAAATTTCATAAAAGTCTAATTCATCTGGATTACTTCAGTTCATACAATCAGGTTTAATGCTGTAAATCATGGCGGAATGTTGCCAGACAGAATAGCTCTGGGTTTTCTACAGTGACCTGATCATAATACGGTTTTAAGGATGCACCAGCCCCTTGAAGGTCACAACGAGGTCACCACATTAGATAACAAGGAAAGTTTGCTTCTGTATAAATAACTGAAGCTGTTTTACCCACGTATTCGATTTTTCAGTACTATGGGGAGGAACTATCTGTCTGGCCTCCACCTGTACTCCTCCCACCGTGATTAGTATCTAAATGTAGGTATCATACTGTGTCCGTTTCTTTGTTAGGTAATAAACAGTTCATAATATCTCCTACTACAGCTGTCATTATCTTACATTTGGATGTGTCTAATGTACTGGTGAAGATTATTGACAGTTTTCGTACCCTCGAAAGTACATACCACCTATGACTCTTGGAGACATTATCAGTATAGGAAAGGTTTATTACTTAATCGATGAGACAAAATAGTCAGACACCCAAAGCAGGTTCGTCTACGCTGTGTACCAGCCAATGTTTACCTTCTTATTGATCAAAAATAATAGTCTAGTACAGGGGTTCTTAACCTGGGGTCCATGGATGGGCTTCAGGGGGTCCGTGAAGGTCAGATAAAAATTTAACATTTATAGTCACTATACTTTGTGTATATCATACACTGTATGAGACAATGAATTTTCAATAAAATAAAGTATAATTATTGCATGCAAAGTTGTGTTTAAGTGCTTATGTGCATTTTTCTAGGGAGGGGGTCCATAGCTTTCACCAAACTCTCAAAGGGGTCTGTGACTCAAAAAAGGTTAAGAACCTCTACTCTAGTCAATGGCACTGGCGACAAATTTTAGCGATATTATCTTTAAAATATTGTGTCTACATTGTGTAAGCTGAAATATTTACTCTTTTTCTCATCTAAAGTGAACGAGGCTGTAGAATTAAGCAGAGATCCATTCAGTAAGACACAAACATCTGTTACAAATTAGACTTCTGATTACTAAGTCGTCTTTCGTACATTATCCTCACTCCCATAATTTATTGTATTTTACATAAGGCACTTCAACTAGTTTAACTTTTGTGTTAAGTTTAAGGTCCCATTATAACCACGGAAACTAATACAAATGTAATGTATTTATTAGTGTGTTACGGAAAGTCGTCGTCAGTTTCACGTATCCGAGTCCACTGTGGGAATGATATAAAAGTGGGGTGGTAGTGGCCGACTTAGGTAGTATTGCATCGCAACGTTCACGATGAGGCCTCCGTCGCTGCCACTTGTGTTGCTGCTGCTGGCGGTGTCGTCAATGTCAGCCGCAGGAAGGAGGCTCAAGTCTCTGGAATGTCCCTTTCCAGGTATTTGTTTGTCCTAAAGGCAGTGGGTCAAGTTTGGGGTATTTTCTCAAACCTTTTCCTTATATCAGAGTTCTGTATGACGTTGATGTGTGAACTGTAATCATCGCTCAGTGTTCATCATGTATTTTTTCATCCACGCTGATAAGATTACCTTTTTATTGCAATATTTTATCAGTTAAATTGTGGTATATTTCTTACCAACAGAATAATTTTGTTTATAAAAAGACAATTAATCAAGATCTGATCACTAACATTGTTTCACTTACATTTTATTTACTGCCCACCCTATAATGCTTACAAATTTAATAATATACATACGGTAAAATAAAATAATTATATAACTCACGGAAACAAAATGCTGCAGTCATTAAATTAAACCAACTGTGATCAGCTGAAGTCATCACAGTGTGGATTATGTTGGGTGAAGTAAAGACAAATCAAGAAGAGGAGAGATGAGGAAAGAAGAGAAGAGTGAGGAAGAGGATGGGGTCACTTTGTGGTACACTTGCCTCTATCAAGCAAAGTGTCGTACTGATGAGGATAGAATAAAAACCTTAAATTAGAAAATTAATCTAAAATTAATTCACGAATCTACATCAATAATTATCTGACTCAGTAATACCCTCAGTAGGTTCTGGCATCACACTTACTGTATTTTTTTACTGAAATGAATTCCTTAGATATGGAGTTTTCCAGTCAATACAGGAAACATTTTATTCTACACTGAAATATATAGTTCCTCTTCGTCTAATAAACCTTTACATTCTTAGCTTCCTACGTACAGTTATTGCCTGGTATAATCTAGTTATCAGTGGGTAAACAACATGCAAAAATGAACCACCACACCTGTGTATTTCTCAGGTATAATCTAATTTTTACTTCCCTGGGCACTGTTATTCCCCATCGCTAAAACAACTCATCTAGGTGTTCATATTGTCACCTCGTCTCTTCTCCCACTCATTTCCTTTGAGGTTTTGTCTTCTGATGCTGGAGACATTTTATGAATATTATACATTTCTTTCTTCTCTCATCCTTTAAGTCTCTCCAACTTCCTCTCGAGTCCAATATATTCCAGTATTATAAGTTCACTCTTTCTTATTGGCACTGAATGTTTTATGCTGGTCCAAGAATGTATACATCACGCTATAAAGGAATAATTTCTAAATAGCAATAACTTCTATTTTTTTTTAGCACAAAGCCGGATTGTATATAATTCCGACCATGTTGATAGCAATTTGACACACTATAAATATATAAAGCTATTTGTAATCTACCTAATCTAACCCTACCTAACAATACTTAATTTTACACAGACACACCTTTGTAAAGATACACTACATCTAAAGTGAAAGGGTACAGTATATATTCTACCAAACATGAACTAAACTCCACAATACATACTGTACATGATGGACACCTTTGGTACAGTGTGTGGGCGGTTGGAGAGGAAGCGATTATATATATTTTGTTTTGTATTCCTCTATAATTATTGTCACTCCAGTTATTATTAAATAATTGTTAAAACTGTGATAGGATTAAAGGTTAATTGCTGACATTAGTGAATATTCATTGCGTTGAAATTTAACTCATTAAATGCTTCATCACCCATGATACTAGTCCATTACACAATGTGAGAACGCAAAGAATGTGACTAGTCGTTTTAATGGAATAATTTTGCTCTGAAAAACTGGTAATGTGTGCGTGTTCTGAACTTTTTTCTCTCGATGATGTGAAATTCTCTCCTAAAGTTCTTGAAACCAAGTTGGATTTTTCCCGGCAGCTCAGAAGAAATCACATAATGATTATATTAATTCTGTTTATTTCCCGACATGGTGACACATGGTACTCTACATGATGATAATATTTGTTTTCATAGATATCTAATGTCTTATAAAAGTTGCTTAATTGTTTTTGAGTGGTAGTAACTATGTCCATGCCTACACTATCATCTACACTACATTGATTACACTACATCCTCTACATTATCTGTACTACAGCAACTACACTATTCAAGTTACTTTGCTTCAGAGTTTCATCCTGTTATTCTATGCGTTACTTTGGCCCATAGGAGGTCAGAAGGAGTCGTCCCAGGCTGAGTGTGCCAAGTACACAGCGTGCCAGTGGACAGAGGGCGTGTGTCACATGAGGGACAACCTGGAGGCGGGTTATCGTGTCAGCACCCCACCACAACAAACCGAGAGGGGCTTCAAGGTGCGAGTTATTGAGAATATATAACCCAATAATATTTCAAGCAGGCTGAGTTATATACAATGCGTTTCAGTTGTAAGAAGCTATCCATACATGACATGATATATCTACAAGTTCCTTAGGATTTCTCAGGATGCTCTACGGTATTAGACCTAGTTAGCGATCCACCAATTAATATCAGACCCCCACTTAATTTGAATGCCTACCTGGCTATTTAATTTTCCTCGCGTATATACATAACTTAGATATATGTCTTGGGTGTAACTTCTGATATACATATGAGATTGTAGTAATTCTACCTAGTACTGTATCAATTCGTAGTAAAAAAAAAAAGACCTTAAACGCGTGACATGATTGATTTTTTACTTATATTCAACAGGTGGAGATTGAGAAGATCAACGCCAATGTAACAATGTTCGAGAGTGACGCCGAGTACCTGGTGTTTGACGTCATATATCACGAGACCTCTCATGTCCAAGTCAAGGTCAGAGACGGCGAGAGGAACACACACACACACACACACACACACACACACACACACACACACACACACACACACACACATATTAAAGATTGTAACGCAGACCTCTAAAATAGTTCCAGGATATGATGAACAAATTAACGAACCCATAACAACAATTAATCAATATAACACCTCGCTAATTATTCTCTATCACAAGAATAAGATTAAATAGGTTTTCTGATAAATGTTTTCACGTTAATGTTAATCTGAAGTTAAATTTAGGTGTTCTTATCTCAACCAGTAGACTATGAGCTCTGGAATGATTTAAACACGAGGTATATTAGATGATATGTCTGGATTAGACTGGATAAGGTGAGGTTGTTTATTTGAATAATCCCTGATGAATCGCTGCTGGAAGTGTATAAGACAATCCTTCCACTGTGGTGTTATTGTCAGGGATAAACTGGATGACCTTAATGGAAATAGATTAAAAAAATTTCTAAATATTTTTTTTTTTAAGAGATGACGGGTTTTCCAAGTGATGAAAAGTCAAATATAAAGGTTTTAATTTATTGATTTTATATTTTATGAAGCTATCTGTAAGTGTGTGTGTGTGTGTGTGTGTGTGTAGATACTCGAGTTTTATAACAGATATAAATTTACGAATCTTGCATCTTTATGATTTAGGTTAGGTTAGATTAGGTTAGGTCAGGGTGTTTATGTCGTTCATCCACTCGTCTTACGGGGCTCTTATCAGGGATTTAGAAAATATTGTTTTCATTGACTTAAGGCTGAGTGGACTGAGTATAAGATAATGCACAATATTGTTTTCTACTCCACACAGATCTACAACAAATATGAGAAACGCTACCAGGTGCCTCTACCTCTATACCTACCGAGTCAAACTGGCCCTTACCAAACCTACCAGGTCAATGTTAGCGATGTCAACACACCTTTCCACTTCAACGTGTCGAGGAAAAAGACGACAACTAACATGTATGCAGACATTTCTAAATTATATGAATATCACTATAATAATTATTTTCCTTTACTCTTAGTTCGGGAATACATTTCTTTGTGAAACTGTTAAGACATGATAATTTTTCGAGTTCATTAAGATTTTTAATTGAAGATGTTAATTATTTGTTATTAGCTATACACTTAGATCACAGGTCTAAATCATTATAAAGAACAATGAAATATGGTAACTAAAGGCCGTAAAAGGTGATTTTCTGGATAAAAGGAACACGACTACAAAAATCCTATTACATAACGATAATTTCCCATGGTATTCCAATGTAGAAATTAATCTGAAAAATCTGACTCGATTCCGGCATGAAATTGGGATTTGTTTAAGCACTGGACTATGAATACCCTGTAATAGGAAATCACTTCTATTTTCCCCTACAGAATGTGGTTAACTATCTATTAATAAGGTTACCGACGACGAACGACGGGCGACTCAATATGATTTCGTATTAACTGTATAGTATCCACAACATACATTATTGATATGTATATATATAATTAAGTAAAACAAAATCAAAACATATTCCAGAAAACTCTAGTGTTCACCAATATACCTCAAAGTCCAAAAGTTTATAATAATTTCAATTGTGTCCATCAGTCGCAAATTTACTCATATGAAAAAAAAGGAAAATTTCAGCTTCATCGTTAAATATGAGTTGAATGAAACTTCGAACATAAGGAATAAGATGTGTGGAATAAATACTATGACAGGGTATCATGTTATTCACCGTGGTATGTCAGGGTGTTGTCCGGTATTGTAAATATTTTTCAAAACAAGATAACTTATTTTTAAAGGCGAAGACACTATAAAGTTCGTTCAACATTAAGTAGATGTAAATTACACTATTTTCTATGAATTGTTTTTGTATACTTTTGACTATGTGAGATTAATTATATTTCCCCTCTGCAGCTTCCGGTCTATAGGGCCGTTAATATACGAGGATCAGTTCCTGCAGATCACTACAGCATTGGCCTCCCCCTACATGTACGGGATGGGAGAGAATGTACACCAATCCTTCAGACACATTTTCCGTCCACGGCAGACCTTCCCCATCTTCTCCAGAGGCCTCCCAGTCGTGCAGGTGTGTGTGTGTGTGTGTGTGTGTGTGTGTGTGTGTGTGTGTGTGTGTGTGTGTGTGTGTGTGTTAATATCTATTACATGTCGATTAAAAAGAATAATGCAGTTTTACAGTTTAAAAGCAAAAAATAGTATTTGAAATTCACGAAAGTAAAGCTAATTATCGCGATAAATTTATGATGAAAACTAACTATTCAGTCTATATACATTACAAAACCTTTCAGGGGTACAGTAACCTGTATGGCCATCACCCTTACTACATGGTGCTGGAGGACCACGGCCACGCACACTCTGTCCTTCTCTATAACTCGAACGCCATGGGTGAGTGTGTCGTCCTCCCACTAGCGTTACTCACTTAAATTAAGCTTCCGATACTCAAGGTTAACAAAATATTTGTATAGACAACGACAACTTTAATACCATAACAGCATTAATATCTGGTATCTCCTGACGTCCATAATACTCGACACATAGTATGTTGGCCATCTTCACCCAACAATACTCGACACACAGTATGTTGGGCATCTTCACCCTACAGTACTCGACACACAGTATGTTGGCCATCTTCACCCTACAGTACTCGACACACAGTATGTTGGCCATCTTCACCCTACAGTACTCGACACACAGTATGTTGGCCATCTTCACCCTACAGTACTCGACACACAGTATGTTGGCCATCTTCACCCAACAATACTCGACACACAGTATGTTGGCCATCTTCACCCAACAATACTCGACTCTCATTAAGTTAACTTTCTTCAGAGTACTCGACCTTCCTGCTTGACGATGGCACACCGGCCCTCACACTGCGCACTACAGGAGGAATCATCGACTTGCACTTCTTCCTGGGTGACTCCCCGCTCAAAGTCTACCAGAATTACGTTCATGTAAGCACGGTCCATAAGGTCTAGGGTTGTACAACAGTCAACTAAATTAAGAGAGAACTCAGACATCTTGAAGGGTGGCCAAGTACTCTCACCTAATTGGATTGAGTCACTGTTTTTTCTGTGTTATATCATTCTTTCGTTGGACTTCATAGTGTTTTATTACCACACAAGTTAGATATTTTTCGCTGTATCGAATTCAAAACAAAATACATTGCCAAATAAATTAATTCCATAATAGAAGGGGACATTGATTCCTCTAGTATTAAATGGGTTTTTTTCTTAAACAATTAACTAAATAATTTGGTGTTGACAGACTGTTGGCTACCCTCACATGCCTGCCTACTGGAGTCTGGGCTTCCAACTATCCCGTTATGGATACAACTCTACCCAGGACATCAGAGACTTACGTAAACGGATGAAGGACAAGAAGATTCCACAGGTACGAGTGTGAGTTTTTTTTTTAGTCACACCATGAGATTGAGCACAGCCCTTGGACACCTCAAATGTAATTAGACTTTTACGTTATTAAACATATTTCTAATTATTTTAATTGCCCTTTATCCAGAATATACTCTACGTCACTTGTGAAATGCCACACTTTATAGGGAATGAATAATATACGTAGAGCTACTATTAATTGTATGTTCAATTAATATAAAACAAAAAAGGACAGTTTTTCTAATACTACGTAGGAATTCATGTTAAAACAATTTCATTAAGTGGAGTCGCTGCAGTATTTGACACTTTTGAAAGCCAGGTATGTAAGTCGTACCTGGCATGTGTGTGAGGCATTCAAGTAGGACATAAAAATTACGGTTTTCACACTAAAGGGAAAATAAGTCACGTTCTTCTGGAAGATAGACGATAGTTTTTCTGTCTCTCCCCCGCTCTCTTTCTCCCTATCGATTCATCTTCGTATTTCTATGCGTTATTCTCTCATAGTTCTTCCAATTATTCTGTCATTCTGTCTCCTAACCTGTCTCTATTTTTTATGTACACCATTTCATCCCTTTGTCTCTTTTCCCTTTCTCTTACTCTATCTCTCCTCCTATATCTACCGTTCCTCTCTCTTCTCCCTCCAGGATGTCCAGTACTTTGACATCGATTACATGGACAACTTTCGGAGCTTTACGTACGATAAGAAGAAGTGGAAGGACCTGCCGGAGCTGATAGATGAACTGCATCAGGACAACATCAAGGCCACCATCATTGTGGTTGGTTATACTGTATTTAGGGGTATGTGGTCGAGTGCATACAGGGCTCGCCTTCTGCCCTAAGGGTTTACTGGTTCGATCCCGTGTACTCCTGTCTTTTCAGCTGTAATAGATACTGTACCCAACTTTTAAGATAATTACTTTTCAGTCAGAGGTAAACCGTTCTCGTCTGCTTCCTCTTCCGGCTTTACGTTTCAACATCGTCAAAGGAAATGTTTATTTTCTAGGATCCACAAATCGCGGTCGACATGGAAAACTATGGTCCGGCGAGTCGTGGCAAGGAGGCTGACGCGTTCATTAAGTGGCAGAGACCTGAGTACGTCCCCAAAGACCAGCCTCGGGACGCCGGGGAGTATCTTGTAGGGTCGATGTGGGGCAACCAGCCAGCCCTCTACCCAGACTTCCTGAGGCCAGCCACACAAAGTTGGTGGGTCAACGAATTCAAGACTTTCCATCAAGTAAGAAAATTAACTGATTATTAGTAATAATTAATTATAATAAATAATTTATGACTACTGAACTTAATTAAGGTATGTAAATAAAACAATACGACTACAAACAAATAAAATTCAAACAAAGAAGGAGACAAATGTATCATGAGCTACTGTTTATTGTACCATTTCTTTCAGTCTGTTCCCTTCGACGCTGTGTGGTTAGACATGAATGAACCGACCAACTACAATGTGTCTACCCAACGGAGCCTTAAGTGCCCAACCAGCAGTAGCCTCGACTACCCTCCCTACCCCACCTTAAGTACCCGAGTAGGCAACAGCACCAGTAAATCTATCAGGTTAATACAAGTACATTTTTGTCATGTCACTATATAATTTAAGGTGGGTAAAAAATCGAATCTTATACAAATTATCTACTACTAACAGATATTCTTAATGAACACCTAATGGGTTTATGTAAAGGGTTAACCGAATGATGCAACCTTACACACCGTCGCCGCCCCTTCCAGCCAACACCGTCATTAGCATATATTTCGTATCGAGGACAGTCAAGGACCATTAGTCTGAGTACCACATGATCTATTGGATAAGATGATGGTGTTGGTGCTGGATGCACGTCACAGTTGCCCATAAACGTGAATTATACTGAATTAATATTGGTTTTTCCTTTCTCTCTCTTCTTCACTTCCCTAACTGTCTTTATTTTTAAGGAATTGTCTAAATCACTCGGGTTCACTACTCAAGATCCTCTATAAAATAAGGACAATATTCTAAGCATACTGTTCACCTATTGTTCATAAACATGGCAATAATAACAAAACAATACTCTAATATTTCGCCACGTCTCACACCTCATAACCTAACCTAAAGAACTTTGACTAGTTTATTACGAAAGATGACCACGACTCAGGGTCTTTACAGCACAGGAAGTATCTGCATGTCAACCAACCAGACAGACGGCAAGAAAAACTTCACCCACTACGATGTTCACTCTCTCTACGCCAACGCCGAGACCTCCGCCACCCACCGGTAAGTGATGATCAATCGTCTCATTAACCTCATATTTGTGTCACATCGGGTGCTCCAGATTGATTGATTATTATCTGTGACATGACTCTTGCAACTCAGTAATGCTTGTGAATTATTGTTTACATATTAACAGGTCAAAGGTCAAGGTCAAAGTTTTGATAGTCTTGTAACTTGAAAAAGAGAATAAGTTACAAGGTTCGTGCTTGTCCTGTGTGAGGCCCTTAAGTGCTGCCGTGTTCTGAGGATTAAAAGATGAAGGGTTTAGCTCACAGGGTCAGAAAGGCCACAATCCTGGTGCAGTTGACATCTCACTTGGAACAATTATTTCGCTTTCATATTTCAGATGAGATAATGAGCTTTTTTACGTTTGTTTCTTCAAATAAGTAATAGTTTTATTATATTTTCTGACTTCATCAATGTTATAACTAATCTGAGTCAATTTACCCTCACCTACGGGTGGCCAGGGCGGTGAGTGTGCTGAGGCTGTTAAAGCGACCGTTCGTGTTGACTCGCTCCACCTTCCCTGGGGCGGGCAAGCAGGCTGCCCACTGGCTCGGTGATAACTCAGCAGACTGGTGGCACATGAAGCGCTCCATCATAGGTGTGTGTGTGTGTGTGTGTGTGTGAATTATTTTTAACTCTGTAATGTTATATGAGGTACACATGGCAATAGGCCCTCTGACGGGTAATGTGACTTACAGGGTGAGTAACTCGCTGGTGGCCCTGGAGTTTCGCTAATGTAACCGTTATTTATGAGATAATAAACAAGAAGAAAAGAGAGAGAGAAGGGGAGTTGAGGGAGAGAGAGAAAAACACTTGAAAAAGTAACGCCAAAAACTTTGCTGAAAATTCACTAGACAGTAATATATTATAAATAATGGATAATATTAGCGATACTCTGGGACCAACAGTGTGTGAATCACTATACAAACTAATATTTTCAAAGTTGAAGTAACAAATATGTAAATTTATTTGTATATTGGTATATAGGTAGACAGACAATTTGAGGGGCCGACCCGAATATAGTGTACTGTATTCCTCGCCTGCAGGCATCCTGGAGTTTAACATGTTCGGGATCCCGTTGGTCGGGGCAGATATCTGTGGGTTTTACGGGACAGCCAACGTCGACCTCTGCTCCCGCTGGATGCAGCTCGGGGCCTTCTACCCTCTCAGGTGAATCTTCAACTTTATTCATTTGAAAAAACTATTACGTATCCCATTAAGTGACTCTATATTTTAATACACCTCACCAGACCATTAATTAAATCCAAGGTAAGTCTAGGATTATATATGTTCGGACACACCATGCAGAAAATATATTTTATTTTAACAGGTACTGCAAGTTGTCATATCTGTTGAATCTCCAGGTACCTTGCCTATATAGGGGTACTTCATCGCTCTCCTTTGAATCTAGGATAATATTTCTACATGAGGTTCGTGAGCATTCAGGAAGGTCTCGGGGTCTTGCGCTGTATTGGTGCATACCGAATGTGGTAAAGAACAGTCCAATGAGTCGTGGTATTTATTTCTGCAAGTTTACGATACCGTGTACGTTCAAGCATCTATCTGTCGGGGATAATATATTAATATGGGAAAGAATAATATCATATGCTTTTATACATATGTATCCGAATATGCAGGTCTCTATACATGATGTTCCTGTTTTATACATGTCTAGCTAAGTTTAATGGTATATTTTAAACATTATGCTTTCTGGTGTTTCCTCTGTGAATATAAATTTTTGGGGGTTAACAACTTATCGTGTCCACAGTCGGAGCCACAACAACATCAACTCTCCCGATCAGGACCCAACGGCATGGCCTGAGGTGGCAGAGGTCGCACACAAGTGGCTCAACTTCCGTATGCTGATCCTGCCCTACATTTACTCTCTCTTCCGGGAGGTGAGTGTCTCTACCTGCCGCACCTCTACCTGCTTCCTGCACTACTCCACGTTATCACTGACCCCTTCCTCATCTCTCGTTTGAATGACAGTTTTCGTTTCTATGTGGTGTTTTAGTTAGTGCTTATTGTTATGTTATGTAAAGGGATATTGGGCAGTGTTAGATAGAGTTTTTTTTTAGAAAGAAAATTATGAAGATTTAAAGAAAACAAAAGACACTGAAGTTTAACGAAAATCTGATCATAATGGGTGTTTTTAACGTAAAGGTTAGAGAAAGGGAAAGAAACACTAGTAATAGGACCACATGGGGTGAGGTAATAGAAATGAGAGAGGAGAGATATTAAATGACTCGCTTGTCGGTCCGGGTACTGTTTTCTCCCCTCGATTCCGTTATGAGCTCTGTGAGTGGGGGCTCTGCTTTCCTCCTTGTACACTTTCAATAATCTACAGTACTCTTGCAGCCGCTCACATGATGAAAGTGGCATCACTCCCCTGCGGCCCCCAACACTTGCGTCAGTTTTCTGTTAGTTTTTTTTTTCAGTGCACACACCCTACAGCTGCCGTGATTAATGGTCTATTCACAGCGAGCGCCTTAACAAAACGAGCAGATATTTAATCATCTTGATTGGTTCATACAAGGGGACGGAATTATTCAGTGTCTGTTAGTCTGGCCGGCCTGTGTCACGCTACATCACTGCTGATTAATAAAAGGCTATTCGAATTTGGCTGTAAGAATTGGTACTTAATTTTAACCAGTGGAACAAGGGTCAGAGACTAATTTGAGCCGATTTTATTTCATTAGGGTTATTGATGAGGGTATATATTTTTTTGTCTACCTTCCTGTACAGTCATTGCATCAAGTATACTGGTCCATGCTGAGCTGGGTGTTTACGATGACTATTTCTTGTTTAATTTAGATTATTATTTTTCTTTTTTTTACTTTTACTTATTGAAATTTGTAGAGTTGATTTTTGTCCTGATACATTGTCCTATTTCTAGTGATTTTTATGTGTTAGGGAAAACATAGCCAAGTAAGGATGACATAATTTTATATCTATTTGTGGACAACTTCCGTATTTATTTTCTGTTATATCTTGTACATGACCAAGAGCATTGTTTCTTACCGACTCGGATGTTTCAAATAATTGCCTTCGTAAATCTATCCAGACTTTTTACTTTCTTATCCACATGTAGTGTTATAAGTTGACCAGCTTATAGCATGTCAGTATCCTTATGGAAACAAATTTATCATCAGAATACCCTGAAAATTATTAACCTGCCTTCATATATACCACAGAATTGTAAAACTCTTTGACCAGCCCTTGTATTAAAAGTACTGTATTTACCAAACGTCAAATATATCATGTTTTCAAAATAACAATACGTAGGGTGTTCATTCCCATATACTAAAAACATTAATGAAAACCAAGATGGTATATTCACGTTACCACCGCCCTCCACAGGCACATATGATGGGCAGCCCGGTGGTCCAGCCGCTCTTCTTCACCAACAGCTCTGACTTACGGGCCCGCGACGTGGACGACCAGTTCATGTTAGGTCCCTCACTCATGGTCGCCCCCATCCTGCGGCCCAGAACCCAGGAGAGAAACGTTTACTTTACTAAGGTAAGTGAAGCTATTTTGAATATTGTATTGGTTATACTCTCTCTCTTTATATACCAATGCTCCAGTAGTGCCTTGACGGATGGTGATGATGCTGATGGTAATGGCATGCACGGCTAAAGCTTCTAACACGACTAATATATCATGGCATTATTAATGGTTCAGGGAATGTGGTACAGCTTCAATGGCACCGTGTATAATGGCCCGGGAGACCAGAGGGTGATGGCGCCCTACCAAGATATTCCCTTATTCTTCCGCGCCAATCGGATCATTCCTCTTCAACTGCCTGCAGAGAACACCGTGAGCAGGTGGGTGTATACTTGAGGGAGGTGAGTGGAGAGGCTGGTATATGAGAGGAGATCCAAGGTGGTGTGGGGAGGGTGGTGTGGGGAGAAGTGCAGGGTGGTGTGGGGAGGGTGGTGTGGGGAGAGAGTGCAGGGTGGTGTGGGGAGTGCAGGGTGGTGTGGGGAGGGTGCAGGGGTGGTGTGGGGAGGTGCAGGGGTGGTGTGGGGAGTGCAGGGTGGTGTGGGGAGAGCAGGGTGGTGTGGGGAGAGTGCAGGGTGGTGTGGGGAGAGCAGGGTGGTGTGGGGAGAGCGTAGGGTGGTGTGGGGAGAGTGTAGGGTGGTGTGGGGAGAGAAGTGAGATACAGGGTCATATAAGTATATTCAATCACAGACAGGAAGAGCTGATGTGTCTAGAAAATACAACTGTAGTAAGAGCCTTGCTGTCGTCTTAAGATTTATGAAAAGGTAAACAAACATTGACTTATGATAATGGAATCTTCTCTTGTTGAACTGAGGACACAAATGGATTTAGTATAATAGTTTGTGTGTGTGTGTGTGTGTGTGTGTGTGTGTGTGTGTGTGTGTGTGTGTGTGTGAGTGAAGGAGGCTGATAAAGCGGATATTTCCCATCTTCAATAAAATATTTGTATATATCAGTGAATGTGAACGAATAGTGTGATTATCCATCCTCTCCCTTGACCCTGTGTCTTGGGTCAAAGGATTCGGCCATCCTCTGAACACGTGTGTTTGGTCTAAAAGATTCCACCTCCCTTTAAGACCCTTGTCTTTGGTCTGAGGACCCCGGCGCCCTTTGAACCTCTGCTTTTCATCTAAGCACTACATCTCCCCTCTAGGTTATGTGTGTATGTTTTTAGTGTGTGAGGATGTGTGGGGATGTGTGAGGATGGGTTTGTGTTAGTGTGTGTGTGTTTTTGTGTGCGTCTGTGTGAGTTTGTACAGAGTTTTGCATAATTTGTATTTGTCTGTGAGCACACGTAAAAATTCACCTCGCTCCATATCATCTCTCACTCTTCAGCCTCAAGAACGATTACGGCGTGTTGGTGTGTCCTGATCAAAACGGGAGAGCCGCAGGCAGCCTTTACATCGACGAAGGAGACGGCCCTGACGACGGAGCCATGAAGTACTTCAATTTCTACAAGGTCAGTTTTAACCTCGATTATCTGTTAATTAGTGAATAATTTACTGTTATATGTTCGTTACTTTTTGTTACATACACAGTTAATGGTGGAATTATGACATTTTACCACAGTCAAACACACACACACTTATGTCCCCCCTCTATCAAACTCAACCATATTTCCTCCCCCCACAAGAACACGCTATCGATGAAAAAGATGGAGCAGCAGATCGAGAGGTACGATGGCGTCCTGAGCTTCGCTGTGATCTTTGGCATCAACCAGAAGCCAGCGTCCATCCTTGCCAACGGCGCCCTCATCCCAGACGATGATTGGTCGTACGATCTTAACCAACACGTCCTTTCAGTCAATTTTAACCTCACTCTCAAGGAGGAGTCACAGGTTACACTTAAGTTCCACTGAATCATTATAGCCTCCGTGACTCCCTAGAGGTGACTGTAGTACCATGGTGGCTCTCTGGGTGTGCCTGTAGCAACCTTAAGTTAGTCTAGCTATCATCACTCATCCAGGTTACAATAAATTTGATTAAAGACTCACAAACTTCATCAATAGTAATAAGAAACATTTCCTTTCTCTTCTGTATTATAATTATTCGACCATATTATAGCAACAGGGACGATGAAACAGTACTTCTGTGATATAAACCAAAAGAAGAGCTCCACAATTTGTCTCCAGTTTTCATCAAAAATTTATGCAACATTCTTTTATTATATTCAATAATCATCGATAATGGATTTGGAATCGTAGAAGTTATGTTCTGTTAAATTGTTCACTTTTGCCATTTATACAACAACAACAACAACAATAATAATAATATTAATAATGATTCTATTACTATTACCTGTATTAAGAGTAATTTCTTTGGTAACTCTAGTGTGAACAAAACCAACGTAGTGTATATGACAGTTTTTACCATTAAGTCACAGTTGAAAAGAGAACGATAAAGTTTGCCGTTAAACCTGATACAACGATGTTTTCAAAACCTTCAAGAAAAAATACAGGATTACTGTAGAGTTTCAATAAAGAAAGATTCGTTGTTTTTGGTACGATATAAAAAGGTTTATTTTCTACACACCATAAAACTATTGTTCTGGTCAGTAACAGCAAAAAGTTGATTTTATTGTTCCAGTGAGGAAAAATGCATCTTGTCAGCAAGAAAATACATGCAATTTTTAGTGTTCTACCCTAGAGAGAACACTGTGTTGACGGTACTGTGTACCTTCTCCAACATTGTTCAGCAAGTGCACGTACACACATATGTATATTTAGTTATCAATATATATATATTTTCACTCTTATTTCTCTCCAGCTGAAATAATCATTCCCATTACAAAGGCTTCAACTAATAGCCATTTGCCAGTCAGAGATCCGCTACACTGGTATGGAAGATGAAAGAGTTGAATTAATTTCCCTGGTTGCAGATTCCACCACCAGCAAAAAGTTTGACTGTGAATAGCAACTGATATTTAAACTTAATGTAAAACATAGTGAAATCATTAGAGTACATTATACAGGTAAGCTACTGGCAGCAAACCTACACGGTAAATTATAAATAGATTCTAACGTCACACTCTATGATTTTAATGATTGTTTTATAAATGGAGTAATATGGATACGATCATAGAACTGAGAGAGAGAGAGAGAGAGATTCTGTTATGATAACCTTTCCCCGAGCATGAGCCGTATACCACCTTTAACAAGTTTCAATAAATCAGGTTTAAAAGAATGTAAATACGATAAAACTCTAAACACTAAATAACTGATGAGAGGTGAAATAACCGGAGAACAAAAATATACTACGAAAAAACACACGGATTTTTTTTTTCAGACACGTTCATGTAATACAGAGATACTGAATATAAACAGGGATACAATTTCCTCAAGATAACAGCTCCGTAGAGACTTATAGAGATCCAATTTTCTTTAGCCACAAGAAAAAACCCCACATAGCGACAGGTAAGGATGAAACTTTAATGATGTGCAAGAAAACAACACCAAAGAAAACGGGTAGATGGGTATTGCTACACCTTAAAAAGAAGAAGATGGTCCCTTTAAAGCCAGGTGAGAATGTACTTTCACCCGACCGAAGAAGAAAATAATCTTTAATAAGAGGAGGAGGAGGAGGAGGAGAAAGAGGAGGAGTGGATGGAGGAGTAGAAGGAGAGGTCTGCTTGAAGGGTAAGAATCCATGAGAGGGACACGAAGGTTTGGTGAAGAGTAAAGGGAATGTAAGAAGGCAAAGATTAGCGTAAGCGGAGGTAGAGAGAGAGAGAGAGAGAGAGAGAGAGAGAGAGAGAGAGAGAGAGAGAGAGACGACGTAATATAATTCAGTAAACAGTACATGAAGATATCTAAGGAATTAAAGATTAGAAAGAAATTACAATAAAAGTAGAATAAGCAGTGAAATGTAGGTAAAATGAATCTAATGTAAAAAAAAAGATGTAGCAATAATGTAGACGAAGAAACGGATAAACATGAAAAAAAATAATTAAACTATTCCACCTACTCTTCCTCCTCCTCTTTTTACTTCTCCTCCTCCTCTTACTCCTCTTCTCACTCCTCCTCCTCCTCTTACTCCCCTTCTCACTCCTCCTCCTCCTCCTCTTACTCCTCTTACTCCTCTTCTCACTCCTCCTCCTCCTCATCATCATCATCATCCAACGTATAGACAAAGATGGTGTGCGTAGGGAGTTAGTAACAAAAATAAGAGGTAGAAAAATGTAATAATATGAGTGACGATGTAAATAGCCGAGGAAGGAAGGAGCAGATACACAGAAAAGTGATAGGAACCTGGAATAAGAGGAGGAGAAGGAGAAGTAAGAGGAGGAGGAGGAGGAGGAGTAAGAAAAGAAGGAGGAGTAAGAAGAGGAGGAGGAGAATGAAGAAGAGAAGGGGTAGGAACAAGAGTAAAAGGAGGAAGAGCAGGAGGAATATAAGTAAGAGAAGGAGGAGGAGGAGGAGGAGGAGGAGGAGGAGGAGGAATGAGGATCAACCATTCAAGAGGAAAATATATCAACACAAGAGACAGTATCAACACAAAGGACAGTATCAACACAAAGGACAGTAGATCATAAGGTGGAGTAACATAGGGAAGAAACACTCAGGTTCCTCATTAAGGTTTAGGTGTGTGTGTGTGTGTGTGCGTGTGTGCGTACCCCGCTTTTAACCATAACACTTTTGTTCGAGCATCTAATAACCGAACGGATCTCCCTGATTATATTCCCCTCGCTCACTGCACAAAAGGAAATTCCAATTAATGGAAAAAAGGGCTGTGGTGCTTTTTAACGTACGACCAACAATACGACCGGGGAAGAGAACCTCAGAAGCGGGGGACTGTGTTATTGTGCTCGACCGCCGCCCCTCCTGTGATCCTTCTGAGAACTGAATGTCACATCAAAGGCAGCCAATTAGTTACCCATAGAAACACCTGGTTTTCTTAGAGGATTTGTGTAAATTACTTTATGCTCTCGTATGATCTGTTTCTTCCACTACCCTCCTTTATTCTAGTCCCTCTGACGACTTTATACATGAGTCTTGTCTTTTAACTTATCATAAAATAGACAGTTGTAAAAATCTTACGGCTAACGATGTCTGGTCGTCTTTGGGCAAATGTCTCTCGTAAAAGTTTTTGTTCATTTAATGATCCTTTGATATAGTTTTAACATAAACAGGGGTGAGCGTAATAGTGGGAATTTTTGTTTAACAATAATCGTTTGTTTCTCTTCAATCTTGTCAAATGGATGTGCCAATAACTTTGTTAAGGTAGAACAAAAAAAAATCGAGGTTTATGTGAGGCAGTATTTTCAGTCAGACTATTCGAAAAAATGCTAAATATTATACAAAAAAGTGTGATTACATTAATTTAAAAAACTGGGACCAGACATAAACCTTACGAAAAAAAATGATACACGATATATTTATATATGACAAAAGCGAAAAGAAGTCAAATTAATTATAAAAATAAAACATACGTTAATGGCAATGACACAGCAGATAAATTATGAGGTGAAACCTTTTACCAAAAAAATAATACATAAGAAAATTTCACGAGACGGATAATAAGAAAAATATAATAAAATTATTTAACAAAATGATAAACATTGTATATATTAAAGTTCAAGTTGTCATTGTTTAGATTGCGTTTATTGCATTAATAGTTTACGTTTAGCCACGAACAAACTTCCCTTCATATGTCCAAGACTCCAAAATGCTGGAGCCTGGCTGGCGTGTGTGTGTTGGTCCAAGCTGTAGTAGTAGTGGCTTATGGCTCAGTACAGCTTCGACCAGGAACGTAATGGACCTTTGTACACGACTACACTGGGGTATGACAAGGGAAAGCTAAAGCTAATATACAATATCTATAAACCTTCAGGGGAAAATTAACTTATTTTTCCATGAATAATTTGTATTATTTTTCCGTTAAACAGGTATATTTTTTAATTGCTGTACTTTAATATAGATTTATATTTATATTCTTAAAACGGTTAAATACGAATTAAGAACGTAGATGAAACAGGAAGAGGCAATATTGATATAGATCGAAAACCACATAACTTTAAGAATATCTCAAAGAGGGAACAACAAAGGGAAGAACCAGAATGAGTTGACAATTTATCACGGAAAATATTTGATGATGTCTGTGTAAAATTTCCCTGATACTAGTGGACGACTGTGAAGAAAAAAAGAAAAAACAAAAATCACGATTCCTAACAATATATTTCTGGGGTAAGATAGAGGCATCCCCTACAGGCATACATTAATGAGTTTACGAGCCTTTCCCCTTACAACGAGGCCCTGAAAGAACTCCGACCATAAAGAGAATATCAGGGCTTCACGTTAAAGAGGATAAGACCTTTTAGGACACTACAGGCTCTAAGTGACCTGGGCAAGGGGCATGGTGGAGTGCAGTTTAGGGAGCTGGAGTACCGGAGTGCATTAGCTGGTTCTCTATCCCTGCTGTTGAGTGCATGTGGTGCAGAATGCAGGTCGGGAGTCTCAGACACAGAGGACTAGACCGAGGAAGGAGGAGGAGGGAAGGGAGAGAGGGTTATGGTGGAGCTGTGAAGAGCGAGTGGGAGATGGAAGATGGGAGACAGAAGGTGGACGGAGGAATACAGAGAATGTTCAGCGAATGTAGGAAAACATAAGAGAGCCAAGGTCACGTAGGAAAAAAGAGTAAATTATTCAAGTATAAGAAATGGGAAATAAGTATGACGTAGACCTACATATATCAGGTGTTAAGGTTGTAAGATGGTAGACGAAGGCTGGGAGGATGCATGGGGGAAGTTCAATAAAGCAATCCCCAATAGTACTCGTGTCATGAAGGAAATAGGAAACAATACCAAACAAAGAGTACTATATTTTTTCCCTCAACAATTTCCCCACTTAACTTTATAAAATACATTAGATGAGAGAATAGCTAAGTTACCCTGGGCAATATTTTAATCGCTACCACACATTGTTAGACTGTGGGAGGAAAATAAGAGCATTATTATAGATTTAAATATAAAATCTGATCATACAAAATCAGTGTAATTTCCATTTTCTACATACAAATGATTATACCAGCCATAATTAAACTAGTAGTTGTCGTCACTGATGTGTTGTTGGGGTCGAAATTGCGTCAGAGGTGAGGTCGGATTCACGGGAGTTGAGCAGTGCAGTGCGGACAGGATTGTTTTGGTAATTAGACTAATGAGGCTGCAGGGTGTGTGTTCACTTGCTTTCCGGTAGACAGGTGTGAGCAGGACAGCCTATCTACCTGCAAATCTTATGTTCCAGAGCAGAGGAATCAGTGGATGAGTTTTTAAGCTTTCTAACCAGAGGAGCATTGTGTGTTCCTAGTAGAGGAGCAGTGTGTGTTCCTGAGCAGAAAATATTGTGTGTTCCTGGGCGGAGGAATAGGATTGTCCTAGTAATATTTTTTTTTCTAGGTAACAACCATTCTTCCTACAAAAGAATAA